AATGATCACTCAGGTTAGAAGGTAAAAGCTGGTCCCCCAACCCCCAGGGGCAGGGCGTGAAGGGGCCATGGGATGGCTAAGGGACTCCTCTGCTGGGGAGCGGGGACATTCTGTAACCTTTCTCACTGTAGGGTGACAGCTTCCCCATCACAACCCATGTGCCCGAACCCTCTTGTCTCTGATGGCCCAGAGAGGGGTCTTCCTGGTCCAGCTTCTCCACTCAGCTCTTGGCCCCAATAAAGCTTCTACGAGCTCATGAGAAATTGGTGTCATATCCTTGCAGCCACCTGACTTTTTGATTTTGTGTCACGCTTTTGAAACAACAAGGTGGATTTGACTGTCATTTATATACTTATCCAGGAAAATGTATTAACATTTTGTTAGGTTTGGGGGTTGAGTGAGAGCAGTAATGAGCTTGGGCGGGGTGACCAGGCAGATGATGTCGAGCGGGCAGGGTGGCTGCCCCATGCTTGTGATTGGCTGCCCCTGCTGCAGGGGCAGTGGCCCCCTGGCACTGGGAGCTGCGGCTGAGCTAACAATTTACCTGAGCAATCTGCACATCAAAGTTGGTTTTGTCGGCAGACTGCGGGTTTTTGGACCACCTTTCACGTCCCTGGCTGGAAACCAGCTAGGTTATCATCAAGGGAGACAGCCGGAGTGACCTGTTGGGAGCCAGTGACCACGTGAAGGGCTGCTTGCAGAAGCCCGCGAGGTCCTCAAGGGGCAACGCTCTGGACTGCACGACTGCGCAGCACAGACGCACTGCTCTTGGGGCCGGGCCGCCGGACGGGAAGAGCATCCGTCCATCTGTGCTCCTCGGAGCCTCAGGGTGCTCGACGCAGGTCCAGTCGGTCCTCACTTTTCATGTCAGTTCTCAGATTTTCTTTCTTTTTTTGGCCATGCCCCTTGGACTACAGGATCATAGCTCCCCGACCAGGGATCGAACCTGGGCCCCCTGCTGTGGAAGCGCGGAGTCCTAACCACTGGACCGACAGGGACGTCCCTAGTTCTCAGATTTTCTAATAAGGACAGTTCCTTGTATATTACCTTCACATTATTTGTCTTTCACAACAATAAATACAAATAATCTCCAATAATAATCTTGGCCTAGAACAAAACCTTATTTAAAATTTGACATCCTATGTAGGTCCTTAATAATTATGATTCTGGATGAGTAGAATTTAATGACTAAAATTATGGTTTTTAACGTGTCAGACTGCAGATTTTTCAAATGCTGAATAGAACTTCCCAAATAAATAGCTGTTTGTCTTCAGTCCCATCAAAAATTACTGAAAAGATGAATCGTGTATGAATGTCTTTTTAAAAAGTAGCTACAAATCATTAGATAAAACTATAGAAGAAAAATGTTGATTTGGTGTAGGAAAGGCCTTCTTAAATAAGAAATGCAAATATAAACTAAAAAGTTTGGCAAGTTTGACTAAATCAGAATTTAAGACTTACACACAATACCTTAAAAATAAGTGATAAAATGGGAGAAAAAAATGCAGGATGTGTCAAAGAACTGACTCAAAATTTATAGCAAACTCCTATAAATCAGCAAAAATGACACCAAAGGGTAATTTTTTTTTAAATGAGGAACAGATATATATAACAAATTTTTAAAACAAGAAATAAAAAGACACATGAAAAGATGCTCTACTTCACCAGTAACTCAGGCAATTAAAACGAGATACAATTTCTTAACCATCAGACTGGCAAGCAGCAAGTGCGCTGCAGGGGGAAAGGGGCCTCTTTTGTCCATTGTCGACAGGTGAATATTCAGCAGGCTTTGAAAAGGGCAACACAGCAGTGACTACTGAAATAAAACTCATCTTCCCTTCTACCGGCAAGTCCCACTTCTACACGCTTGTCTTAGAGAAACATTCACTTGTGTATACAAATAGGTAAGTCAGATGAAGGCTCTTCATTACTTACAAGTGGTAAGAACTGAAAAGACTGTAACAGTCCATCATGAGGTCATGGTTAAATGTACCACAGTGCAGCTCTCCAGAGGAACACTACACAGCAATCCACAAGAACACTGGGTGAAGCTGTATATACCACACTGTACATCACACGAAGGGGAGAAAACATTAAAAATATATTTCATCACACGAAGGGGAGAAAACATTAAAAATATATTTCATCACACGAAGGGGAGAAAACATTAAAAATATATTTCTATGTCAAACAGAGAAAAGACAAATAGCATGATATCACTTATATGCGGAACCTAAAAAAAATGATACAAATGAACTTATTTACAGAACAGAAATGGACCCACAGACATGGAAGACAAACTTATGGTTACTAAAGGGGAAGGGGCAGAGGGAGAAATTAGGAGCTTGGGATTAACGGATACACACTACTACATATAAAACAGATGAACAACAAGGACCTACTGTTTAGCACAGGGAACTGTACTCAGTTATCTTGTAATAACCTATAATGGAAAAGAATCTGAAAAAGTATATATATATATATATATATACTTTATACTGAAAAAGTATATCTATATCTGAATCACTTTGCTGTACACCTGAAACTAATACAACATTGTAAACCAACTAATAAAAAATAAACTAAATGAACAAAAAAATTATATTATAAATGTATATAGTATATAACTATATTATATAACATATTATATAATATATATAATAATAATAAATAAATAACAAAACTAAACTTGTTTCTATATACACAGGTAAATAAATCTACAGAAACACAGCTGAAGGATGCCTCCCTACCAGTGGGTACTTCTGAGAAGAGGCAGAATGTAAAGAGATTATTTTAACACGTGCAGAGGTATTCACAGATAGCTCATGAATTTAAAAGTCTTACTTTTGAAATGTGAAAAATAAAAGTGTGTCAGATGAAGGAAGTGCACATCTATTTCGATCAAAATAAGTAACATTAAAAACACTGGTATCATTGTATCATTTTCTAATTTACACACACTTAGGTTTATCCAAGTATCACACCGTTGTACCATAAGACTTTATTTCACAAGTGATTTTAAATTCCGTAGCCAAAACTTCCCCACATTTTTACATGACCCATATCCTTTTTGCTATGTTTTAAACTTTAGATACAGAGTTTGTTAAAAGAGAAGCTAAAAGGGAAAGACACATTCCTTCTGCTGAATAATATATCCTATTCAACTTAAAGATGATTATTAACCTTTTGGGTATCAAGAATTGAAACTGCTGGGGTCACATTTATTTGTAGATCCCCAAATAGCCCTGAGGTCTAAATAGAAAAATATCTTTTATAAACTGTAACAAAACTCTCACCTCAAAATAAAACACTATGAAATTTACACAACTATATCCTTATTCAACATTTTTACAATATCCGGAAATCTACGGGATTTTTAGAAATGACAATGAAAATAGTTTTACATTCAGAAAACAAAGCTTATACCAACATGACATAACCTGAAACCAGGCACCTGTGCAGAGTCCATACAGTTCTTAAGTCACCCTTGTTAAAAACACACATTCTCAGACACCCAATACATGTGAGTCAGAACAAGGATTTGAATGAAGAGAATTCCAATGAGATTAGCTTTGCCTGTTTGTTTGAATGGGGTCTATTATTCAAATTCCTTAGGATGGCCGAGAGGCTCACAGGGCTGCTGGTAACATGGCCAGGTTTATAGCATCCTTTTCTGGTTTTCATACTGTTTGACAGAGCTGTGAGGTTCCAAACCAGCTTCTAGAACTTCTGCTCAAAAACTGGTGTTAAAGTGCTTCAATGCGACCTCCCAAAATTTCATAAAGCATCAAACCAACACAGGCCACTGCCATGCCTGCAACCGCTAGCTTCATTTTATTTCTCGTCTTCATTTTCTTCAAAAACAATATAAAGGTGTCCCATTATGATGAAATGATTCTCTCAAAAACCAAACTGTGTTAGTGTTGATTAATTAGAGTACTGATACTCGGGCAGACTTGGGAACATCTCAGTGCCTCCGCAGGGTAAGATGCTGATTCTGTGGCTAGCCTGGTGCCATGGGGTGAATGCCTGGTGGAGCTCCCCAAGCACCCCCTCTGGATTCTGCCCCTCCATGCCAAGGACGCAGCCAAAAGCAGAGCGATGGCCCAGGCCCGGCTACACAACCTCGCCCAGGAGCTCCCACATGAGCCGCCCAGGCCAACACCACCTTTCGACAAGAAGACCTGCGTTATGACACACTGGCTGCGTTCTGTGCCACAGGGGACACACTGGAGGGCTCCCAGTGGGGGTCTTGGGCTGTCCCATCCTCCACTACATGCCATCGAATCAGGTCACACCAGACATTACCTGGGAGCCACAACGGCAGTCCCCTCTGTGAGCACAAAACCCGGACTCCTTCCTGTGTGTGTGTGTGTGTGTGTGTGTGTGTGCACACTCACATCACATCACACACCTCCACCTGCAGCTGAGGCCATCAGAGCACTGCAGGGCTGTGCCTTTCACATGAGCCTTATTTCAGGCTGGGTCAGGGTAAGGAGAGTTTTGCACGCAGCCCTGGCATTCAACTGAGTCCCTCAGAAATGAGCTAAATCAAACCAGGCAGTGGTGGTTTTTGTTTTTTTCCATTTCTTTAAAATAAAACGAAAAACCTCCAGAGGAATTGTTTTAGCCTCTTATTTTAAATGTTAACGAAGAAACACGTGAATTCAAGGGCACAGCCGTGAGTAGCTGATTCAAGAGTTACACGGATGTTTGAAACAAAGTCTAAATGCACGGAGAGGAGAGCAACCAGCGTCTTCAGGAAGAGCTGTTTTGTTGTAAGTTCTTCATGGCAACAGCCCTCCCTCCCGCTGCCATGATTACGTACCCAATGCCAGCTGTTTTCGCAAAGGGGACTTTGTTTTATAAAGGATCCGTCGTGATGGGTCTTCTGCCATTCCTTCCCTAGAAGACCACTGTCCTGCAGGCCCAGCTGAAAGGGGCCCAGCGTGAGCCTGCCGCCAAGGAAACCGAGGACCAGATGCAGACCAGGGCCCTGAGGGATCCTGTGAGCCGGCACCCACAGCCAAATGCAGAATCCAAACAGTCACCCACGTGGGACGAAAAGGCTCGCAAGGGAACACTTGGGTGGCGCGTTAGGATTTCCCCAAATACTGTGAAAAAGAAGAAGTGTGTCAGCACTTCATCCTATAAAAGATAGATGGCGACTAGCAGCTTACAACAGTTCCTGATAAATCTTAGCACTGCAGGGAACACCTGCATGTATCAGGATGGGAACTGAGCGAGCACAGGTCTCCAAGTGAACCCGGGGGTAAGCGCTGCACCTGACATCCGTCAGGGCTAGAACTCCTTTAGCGGAGCTCAAGTGAATGATGAAAAGACAGTCTTCCGTCTTAATGCAGCGTGGATAAGGGGGGAATCCTGTGATCCTGCCAGAGGCCGCAAGAGTCAAATCGTCCCTACTTCTTAGTCTTAGCTCATTTATTGGCCCCTCGGGGGGGTTTACTTCATAACAACTCGGTACCCATGATTCTTCCCTGGAGACAGCAGGCTTTGCATCCACTTCAGGATTGGGGTGTGGCCCCCCTCACGGGATTGTTTCACAGCCTCATCTCCACTCAGCGGACTTCCAGAGACCCGGTCGTCCACAGCACGGAAGGAAGCAGACAGAGGCAGCCTGGACCGGCCACGCTGCATCCACAAATCCCACTTTCCAACTGACATCACGAACTCTATCCTCCACTGCAGAATGAGTGAGTAGCAGGGGTGCCTGAAGTTGAGATGACGAACTGCTGCAATTTCCGATCCTATTTCTGAGGCATCTAGTGCCGCCAGGAGCTCGTGGGGAGGTGCTGCAGAAAAAGTCACGAAGGTCCGCGATGTCACGTGTTGCATTTCTCAAAGGTAGCCGAAGACATGCAAGGTCTCTGAACGACGCGGTCATTCCAGCTTTTCCCTCCCCACTCCCAGCGGTGAGCTTGGCGCTCGACTGACTGTAGAACACGATTCATATAAGCAGATAGAAAACACTGTCACCGTCACACCACACACCCCTGGATCAGATGGGGAGGAAACAATTGTAGAGGTAAAAGCGATGAACGGTCCATCTGTGTTGTCACAGCCATCTCTACGTACATAAAGGCTGCAATTTTTTTTTTTAGTACAAGGGTTCACATCCACAAGGGGCAACTGAGAGGCACTGAAGTGACTTCACATCCACTCCAAAGCCATTTCAGCTGCCAGAGTCCCGAGTTTCTAATAATCAAGAAATCTCAACACGAGGGGTGATTCCCAGGCATCTCCCCAGAAAACAGCAAAACTGACATTGTCTTAGAAATATTTTTTCTATCTAGTTTAATCATAGCTCACTCAGATATTAAAAAGTATTAAAATATACTTCAACTCTTCCCCTAACTGTATTTATATATAAATCCCTGAGAGGGTACCTGTCAAGTTGAAATTCACTATTTACAGTTAACAGACATCAGGAGTGCAAGCAGACACGGGATCTACAGCAGGGCGGTGCTGTCACCCGCCAGGAGGGCAAACCAAGTCTCCCTCCCTAAAGAAAAAAAGGGGGAAAGTGCGCGGTGGAGGTGGGGGAATTGTGCCAACGTTCTGCACAGAAGCAGCTGGCGGAATCTGCCGTTCATTCACTCGTGGGTGTTTGGCGGGCACGACATGATAATTCCACAGGGCACTGTTGATCTCTCAGCATTGCCTTGCTTTTCCGCCCTTTTTAGATCTCAGAGTAGTGGTGCCAGGGATGATCAAGGCATTTAGCTAAATCTGGAGCAGAAAACAGGCAAAACAAAGAAAAAGCAAATAAGGAAAAAAGGAGGCAAAGGGGTCAGCAGGGAATGTATGTGGTGACGGAGCTGGGGGGGACACTGCTCATCAGTGCCGCATCCCTGACCGACACTGGAGGGGAGGGAGGAGGCCTGACCCCTTGGTGAGAAAAATGCAGCTAACCATTCAAAGCAACGAAAATACATAAACACGAAAATGATCTCAAAGGATATGGACTGGACTGTCAGGGAAACGGGTGTTTCTCTCCACGTCGGGGACCAGCTTTCATCTCATCCAAGGGGACTTGGCCAACCTCAACTCTTAGACACGAAAGTGACCCAACAGCCAACTACATCAGTGATGCTCAAAGTGGGTCCAGACCTCTGTGCCTTTCTTCTTGTGCCCTTCTGGGATGAGGGAGGAACTCACTAAAATCTGACTTTAAGAGCTGTATTATCGTCACACCTGTCTCCCACCAGTCTGGGTGCAGCCTGATGGTCTGTTTATTGAGATTTGGGGGAAGGTGAGTGTGAGATGCTCAACTCTGAAGGATGGGGCAGAAGGGGGAGAGTGGCGCTACCCCGCCCACATAATGAGACAGACACGTGCTCATTACCGCATAGCCAGGGAGCACGATTTCCCCTGCGAATCTACAGTTATAATAAAGAGCTTCCAAACTGGTCTGTAATATTTTAAATCTATGGCTTCTGAGCAGAATAATATTTAAATAAAGTGCTGTTGGTAGTGCATATGTGAGAGAGACTCTGCAACCCAGATGGCCAGAGATTCATTAGAATTTCTCAGTGCTTTGGAGATAACTCCCTCGGAGAGCTCAGGGCCCGGGGCAAATCACATACATGCTCTGCCGAAGTCCCAACATCTTGGAAATTCTACAAAGTCGGCATAAGGGTAAACTGAAGATCAGGGGCAGTCATCAAAGGAAAAATGAAAGTAATTCCACACCAGGGATTCCTTGGAATTGAGTCAGGAGGAGGAAGCAACCCAGCTCACTCCAGGCAAATTTGCCTAAAACATGTTTGCTTAAGTATTCGATTGTAATCCCTGTTTCTCTAAAAAATTTACGCCTGCCCCCATTTCAGCAGTCTGCAGAACACTGGGTTCCTTAGGCTTTTTGCATCTTTTTTACATTTTAAGGATATCTGAATTCAATTTATCTAAGAGCACATACGGTACTTTTGTATTTCTAGTAATAATTTATTAGATTTGCCCCTATTTTCTTAAATACTTTTTTCTTATGTCAATATCTATTTTTGAATATGTTCAAGACTTTGTATACAGTTTATCTAAAAATCCCTTGCTTAAAATGAGTTTAGTCCTAGCAATAAATACGTGCTTCTCTACGCAGTCTCATACTTTGACAACTGGGTTTTCATCATTTTTTAGCACTGGATGGACAAGAGAGCTTAAAAAGTAAGATACAAGGAAATCTGATTCCTCTATCTTACTTGATCATTTTGCTGTAAATGTCTCCATCAAATGGAAAGAAATATTCTGCATCACTTAATCCAATTAAGAACGTGCAGTGCTCATGGGCACCCCCATGAGATGGAAAGGCAAAGAACCAAACAAACAGCAAAAGGGGGGAGAATGCCACAAATTCTGTGTGAAATCATAGAGATATCACAAGTAATCATTGCTAGAAACGGTACTTTAAACAAAGGGTCTTCAGACAAATGCATTAAAACCATCCTAAGTACAAAGAGCCCCATCTTTGCATGGGGCTGGTAAAGTGCTGCACATCTGACTGTGATTAAAAACACAGAATTATACAGAAAACGCCCTTCTGACAAACTGGTCTTAAAAATTTCTTAACTGAGGTTCTAAAGATAAACTTTTAGGTAAAACGCCCACTAAGTCTAGTTCCCCTAGACTGCTAGGGGAACTGGTTTTAGGCAAATCGATTCGTGCTATGCCCAATTCACTCTTGGGTGCAGCCTGAACAAACACAAACGCTTTCTCGGGCCGAAGGAGCCTGCGGGCACGGGGACGTGTGGTGCGTAAAAGGCAAGGGCCGGGCGGAGGTTCTGCGTCCTTCTCCCCGCCACCCCCCACCCCCGACACCCGCACCCACCCACCCCGTCACGTCCTTTTCCTCCAGGACGGTGCCCGCTTCTCCTTGTGCGCCGTGGCCAGCCGCTGCTTCTCTGCCTCTTCCGCCTTCCTTCTTTCCTCCTTGGCCTCCTTGTACCGCCACTTGGGGAGCTGCAGGTGGGTGCTGTCCTTGGTGCTGCCCTTCGCGGCCCGCTCGGGCTGGAAGGCGGGCGCGGGCGCCTTGCTGATGCGCACCTTGGGGATGACCACGCCCGGCCGCACGCTGCTCCGCCGCAGCAGCTGCAGGGACAGGAGGCTGGCCTTCCGCGGGGCAGCTGGCAGCTGGGAAGAAGGCGTGGAGCTGGCTCTGGGGGCCCCCTCTCTGGAGACCCCCGCGGTCTGGGAGGTCCGGAATCGCTGCTCGGCGCCCTCCGCTTTGTCCCTCTCTTGGGCTTGCGTGTCCGGGCGCCCCCGTGCCGCCAGGATTTCCTGCACCGCCAGCCGCCTTTTCCCCACACAGGGGGGGTTCTCGGGGCACATGGTCTGGCAGACGACGGCCACGGCGGGGCTGTAGAGGCTCGTGGTCATCCTGACCATGTGGTCCAGGACGCCCCCATCCTCCAGGCCTTGGCGCAAGCGGGAGGTAAGCATGGACCGCACAAACGCGGTGAGCCTCTGCAAGCAGTTCTTGGAGCCCGCAGGCTTCGGACCCGCCTCGGGGGCCAGCGGCAGCTCTGGCTTGTACTTTTCCCCGAACTGCTCTGGGCAGGGTCGCTCCAGCAGCCTCTGGATGACGTGGACCGCTTCAAACCGTCCCGTGTAAGTAGCCCACTCCTGGGACGACATTCCGCGGTGAGGGTCCCTGGCGTGGACATCTGCCCCTGAAAACCGCAAAGTAGAAACAGGAATCGGTGGATGCAATAAGACCTCCCTTCTACAGGCAGAAAACGAAAAGACAGTGAAATGGATCAAAGGCGAAACTTCCAAAACCTTCTAACAGACCCTACCCTGGAGCTGGGCCACCTGGATGAACCCACACCTGACCGTCACCTCTTGCGTTTACTATTGTAACACAACCGACCTTTTGTTTTTGCGGTACGCGGGCCTCTCACTGTTGTGGCCTCTCCCGTTGCGGAGCACAGGCTCCGGACACGCAGGCTCAGCGGCCATGGCTCACCGGCGCAGCCGCTCCGCGGCATGTGGGTCTTCCCGGACCGGGGCACGAACCCGTGTCCCCTGCATCGGCAGGCGGACTCCCAACCACTGCGCCACCAGGGAAGCCCCACAACCAACCTTTAAGTGTTCCACTTAATGGTTTATCTTTCCTAAATAAAACCCCCTAAACTCAGCACCTAAATCGTGGAATTTTTTTATGGAAATAAGATTTCATGGCTTTCCAGCAATGGAGACACAATCAGACCACAAAGGTGCTTTGTAACACCTGGCAGATGATACTAGAATGTTCTAAAAATACTAACAGTAACTCACGGGCAAAGCATTCAGTGTCCTATTTATTTATCATCTCCCTTTTTCCTCCAAGATCTCATGTGGGGGCGATTATGGTTCTTATCTTACAGGAAACGTGTGGTCCTTCACTTTTCGTGCTGGTGGTTAGTTGGTCGTGGGTCGTGGGCTTCTCCAGGACAGAGGCAGTTTAAGCAAAAACTTAGTCATTTTTGCTTCCTTAACACATACAGTTCTGGCTGGTAGGAGGCATGCCTTTAATAAACGTTTGTTACAGAATGGATGGTGGTCCCAGTGGCTGAGGGCACTGCTGGAGACCTCGGAGCTGGTAAGAGAGAAGTGCTCAGACCTGGGTCCTGACCCTCAGCTGCCTGCACTTCCCACCACCCTGCTGGGGGGCTCTTCCTCTGTGACACTTTTCTGTGTCAACAGGGCCAGGGTCTAGCACTCAGGGACTTAATCCAACACTAATCTAGGTGCGCTGTGAAGCTGTTTTGTAGGCGCGGTTAGCATCCACAACTGGTTGACTTTTAAGTCCAGATTACCACCTAAAATGTGGGTGAGCCTCGTCCAAGGTCTTAGGAGCAAAAGTTGAAGTTTGCTGGAGAAGAAAGAATTCAGCCTGAAGACTGCAGCATCCACTCCTGCCCAGGTCTCCAGCCCACTGGCCTGTCCTACAGATTCCAGGCTTACCAACCCCCTAAATCATGTGAGCCAATTCCCTAAAATAAATCTTTTAATATATATCTCCCATCGGTTCTGTCTTTCTGCAGGACAGAGGCTGCATCTCCTACACCCTCACAGTCTCCCTTACACTGGTCACTTCCTTAATCTCCTCCTACCAGCCACTGCCCCCTCTTAATATTGCAAAGTTAAACTTCAGCTCAACTTGATGAAATGTTCATAAGTTTCAGCTTGGTAGTAAAACAGAAATTAACCAGGGACTGCTGTTCAATTAATCTTGGTCCAATCTCAGCCGAATACACAGTTAAAAATCATTCAGGATTTCAAGTCCCATTAGTCATATTTCCACTGGCAGAGCAATGTGGGAAGTAGGGCAATTATCTAGTCTACCCAGGGACCAGGCCCAGCAGAAGCTTCCGCATTCACATCCCACACAGACCGGGGTGTCCGACATGCGATGGCTGGTGAATACGAACGAGAGCAGCAGGGGGTCTCAGCGACTTCCCCGCCCCATAGCCCTCAGTGGCCCCATGGCTGAGGCAGACGCAGCTCACCTGAGCTCACCCGGTAATGCTCTTAATTCTGTGACACGTTAAAGAACATATCAGAAGAGTGGTAATTATTGGGAACTGGAAATCACAGTGGAACTCATTAGCTACAGTACAATTTATAAACGGACTCAAACGAAAAGGGGCAGTAAAAATGTCATTGCAAAAAATAGATGACACATTAAACCTTAATTCGTTGCACGTCACTTAAAAAAGGAGCAAACTGAAAAATTAAAATCTTAATGAACGCTGCTTGAAAGAGACATTTTTCAAATGCTAATGGAAAACTAAAGGAACAGCTGTCAAAGGTTGAGTGCACCTCTTCCTTTTCAAAATCACCTTGGAAAATACAAACACTGTAAAGAATGGAGGCCATTCTGACTGTAATGCAGCTCGAGAATCTGAGTCATGCTATAAACGAGGGATTCACTTCCTTAAGAAAGTACTATTAAGGGTAATACTAAAGGCCTGGGCATAGTCATTAAATCATGAAAGGCAAGTACTGACAATTAGCACGTTATATCTTTTTAGAAAATACGGAGCACCTCTGAAAGGCCAAAGTACCCATTGCCTGCCCCAGAGACGCCGGCATCCTCATGCCCCCACCCCATGTTGTTTCGCCCAGGGCTCCAGCCGTGCAAAGGCTGGGCTCCTGCCAATGAGTCCATTTGCTGCCACGTTAAGCGCTGTGAGCTGTCTGTACAGAATCCTCTATTTTATTCAAGGCAGCAACTACTCAGTTCTAGGCAATGCCTCATGACTGGTCTATCCCTGAGGTTCAAAACTTGGCCATACTGACATTTGGGACCAGATGACTATTTGTTTGGGGGACTGTAGGGCTTTTAACAGCATCCCTGTTCTCTGTGCACTAGATGCCAGTAGCATTCCACCAGTTGTGACAATCGAAAGTGTCCCCTGGGGGATCACACACATCCCCACCCCATTGAGGATTATGGTTCTGACCTCGATGACCTGCCTTGTTGTTCCCCATTCTCCCAGTCTCCCTTACAGCCGGTCAGTGAGCCCCAAAGGGAAGGCTGTTGCACCCTGATCGAAGGGACCGATGAAGCTGAGGCCTGGAGCTCTGGTGACCATCGTGCAATCATGAGGTGACCAGTCAACACACTGGCAGGTGGTTGGGGGGCTGTGTGGAGCTGAGTGGACAAGAGGAAGAAACCTGGGTCTGTGATGTCCTCACGGAGTCCAGGGCCAAGCTCTGCATGGTGACTTCCAGTGAGGTGAGACAGACAGACACTTGCTTTCTTTAAGCCACCGTCAAGTCAGGATTTCTGTTACTGGAAGCAGAAAGCATTCTAAAAGGGACTAAAGGAAAACAATCTACCTTCCGTTGCTCATTCTTAGGACACTTTCCCCCAACAGTCAAGGCCAGGTACATGGGACCAGCAGGAGGCAGGCAGAGCCCAGGGTGTGTCACTTCCTTTCCTATTTATCTATAAGCCCTCATCCCCTTGTTATCGTAACTATAAACCCCCATCCCCACGTTATCTTATCTATAAGCCCCCATCCCCATGTTATCTTATCTATAAGCCCCCATCCCCATGTTATCTACCCTTCAGAGCCCCAATCTGGTCCCCCTCCTGCCGAGAGACCCTTCTGGTCATGTCAGGTAGTTAGACATGAGCGGGTCCCTGCCCCATCCTGGACGGGGTCATCTTTCCCTCCCCCATCTGGACACTGGTGATTAGAACATGCCCAGACAGCCACCCTTTTGTGGTCAAGGACCGTTAAGTCTCCAGCCTTATCAAGACCAAACAAGACAAAACCACCAGCACAGCTTGGTGCGGGCATACCAAGACCTAAAAGGTGACTCAGAGTAACCCGGGGTCCATTACGCCGTGTTTGTAATAAATTAGCATTGCGGTTTCTGCATCCATCACCCTTCTGTGGGTTTTGCCCGGGTGCCTGTGGGTAAGCGCCTGCGCAGAGGGAAGAAGTTATATAACCTAAAGCCGTCGATCAGCTTGGCAGTCAAATGATGCAGGACCTCAGGGGATTTCCACCACTCTGAAAAACCAACCCCAGCCCTACCGCGGGGCTGCTTCCAGTTTCCAAACAACCCCGCGCCCCTTCTCTCTCTCCGGAGTGTACTTTTGCTTTGCTTAATAAAAAACTCTTGCTACTTAAAACTGCTCTATGTCTCTGGACTGAATTCTTTCTCTTCGAGAGGACGAGAGCCGAGGGAATCGCCTTTTTCCACCGGTGACAGTCACCACAAGACCACTGTGGACCGGTCCTTACAGGCCTTCTCCTGTGCTGTCTGTGGCCTGTATCTTGGGCACTTGGGGTATACTCAGGATGCAGGGTCACAGGCAAGAGCCCTTGAAGGGGGTGGGGCGGGTGATCCCACCCTACCCTCAGGCATTTCAGTCTTTCAGAGGGTCTCAGCAGGGCTCAAGCCCACAGCCTGCAGGGTAGCCAGCTAATGAGCTCACACTGGTTCGTTCTCCAGTCTTCCCAATCTGGCTTCCTTATCCCTGACCAGCTTCCAAGGGTGACTTTCCAGAACAACTTGCCCCACGGTTGGCTCTCGTGGGTGCCCAGGCTAAGACGGTGCCCTTGGTGATATGAAATGCCTGATTTTTAGCCCTTTCTCTGCCTAATAACTTGACACTATTCCAACTTAGTCACAGAAAATTCATGTTTTCCTCTATAAACAGAAAGAAACCTCTCTGGTGATATCATATCCTTCGGCTTTCCAGAAACACATAGTCAGGGCTTGCCTAAGACAAGGATGAGCACACGATGTACAGCGGGAGTGCCTCTGCTCTGTTCATTAAACGAGCCTCCTACACCTTCCTTTCCGTCTGCTTTGTTGCCCGGAATCCCAGGGAGATTCAAGGCTTCTGTTTGCTTGTTTTTGCTCCCCAAGTGCCGCAGCAATGACACCAACACCTCAGGTATGAAAGCCAGCTCTCTTAAGCCAGTCTGGAACCTGCCAACCTCCACCAGGTTCTGCTTCTCTTCAGAGGTAATCACGGCTTCCCTCATACGGCTTCTAAGAGCATTTATTAAATACACCTGTCACTTGGGGGCATTAATATTCCACTGAATTAACAAGGCTCTGCAGCCCTATCCCCAACCCCTGGGATCTCATCAGCAGAGCTGAGGTTACTCCTCGGGATGCCAAAAACCAAAGAGCCAATATATCAGCTGTTCAGAACTTG